GCCATTATTTTTATGAACAATTAACATTAATTTTGTAGGAAAGTTGAATTTTTTTTAATCAGTAATTTTTTTTTTTCTGATAAAATTTCATAAAATGCCACAGTACCTGTCCCTTTTCTTATTGGCAGGGTTTTATGTGGAGAGGGGTGGATAAAATTGATTTTCTGGTTAAGTGCATTATAGTGGATCTCTCCTGGACTAACAATACCATTGCAATAGTCAAGAATACACAGCAGAAACTATTTAGTGAAAATTATCAGAAAAATAATTTACAAAAGATACTGCTGATGACCTTCAACTTCTGCCCTATTGGGAATGTGCTTGTGTACTGTATCACAGTTTGGTATACCAACTGCTCGGCAGTGGACAAGAGAGGGAGAGTCCTCCAAAGAACTCAAAAGGTTATAAATGTTGTTCAGAAAATAATCCTTGGAGGACATTTCTAATTCTCACTGTTGCAACAGTGCAAAAAACACAATGAAAGACAGCATGAATTTGTTAGAACTGTTATCCTCAAGGCAACATTTTAGAGCTAACAGTTCTAAGACAAATTACTTAAGGGTCAGCTTTTATCCTTGATCTATACATAAAAGGAACAGTGCTACACACTGACAATTTCCAACACATTTTAAACATTATTATTTTTTTTTTAGTTGATACTGTGCAAATATTTTCATCCGTATTATGTGCATGTTTTTTTTTGGGGGAGCACCTGAGGACTGCTGATCCATTTCCCTGTGCAATGCGATAATGAGAAGAATAAAAAAGCTTATACCAGAATAAACTTGATTTAAGTGAAAAACATTTAGCAAAAAAAAAAAAAAAAAAAAAATATGTGTAATTAAGTGGTTCCAATTAAAACATAAATACAACTGAATTAGGAATTAATACACAGCCTTAAATCATTTCAATAAATAAATTCTCTGTCTATATCTCCGAGATAAGGTATTATGATTATTTACTTTATTTAGACTGTTATCCTCATTTTTATTACCATATTCACAACATTTCAGCTGTTGTACACTCCAGCCTTCTTCACGGACACATGGCCCACTGGATAAAAACATTTGTTAGATCCAGTGACTAGACCCAAAGAGTTGTGAGTTCAATACCAGGCTACAGCAGTGGTGAACCAAAAGAACTTGGAGAGTTTATTTAAAGTGAAATAACTGAGACATCCAGAAGAGGCATGGCATGTGAACTAGAACAATCTACCCAAGTGGACAAAATAAAGGGTTTGGTTTGAAATTCCAATCACCTGAAGAAGGTCAGAGTGTACAACAGCCAAAACATTGTGGATATGACAATGAAGATGAGGATAACAGTTTGAATAATGTAAATAATGTAAAATCAGAGGTTTTGACTTAAAATTGCCTGTCACACTTACTGATCCCAAGATTACAAGGACTTATGGTATTATGAAGAAGCCATTTATTCTTGCTATTTTTTTTTTTTGTTTCAATTTTTTTTACATTTAAATTTTCTATCAACACCTTCCACAAAGTGTGCCATTCCTTAAAACTTCTTAGAACAAAGGGAAATATACTACAACCCCCCGGCATTTCCCCAGCTGATTCAAAAACCATATAATTTAACAAATATTTTTTTTTAATTTGTACTACTTTTCTTAAAATACCAGAAAAAAAAAAAAAAAAAAAAAAAAAAAAAAAAAAAACTGGAAAGTTATTCAAACTCGGTCAAATAAAACCCAATACACAGAAAGTAGATTTGCCACGTTACAATCAACATACTTCCTCTAATTTACATGAGCACACTTTTTTTCATACTAGCATTTACCTAGTTTGCTGTCTTCTCTTCTGTACAGATGACCTTGAGAAAGGCATGAACCCATCTCTTCTCTTGCTCCCCAACTATGGTTAAATTAAATATCAAAGTATACTTAACTAGACAGCAACCAACCAGGCTAAGAGAAGGAGTACTTTGAAATCAAAACTGGAAAAATGAAAAGAGAACAAAAAAATGCTCTACTATCATTTCCAAGAAATCATAGCAATTTAGCAAAACTGTGGTGATCAATGATAGCCTACATTGTGAAAGGACAAACATTAAAAATAAAATAAAAAGAATTCCCCTATACATATTAAAATAAAAGAATTCACCTTTTACTTTGGTAAGGAAGGTGGAGGCAGGGCTGAATTGTTTAGGCCTTAAGAGGTCTAAATTTGGAGGGTGGGGCCTCATTATGTATGTTGGCCCTCCACTCAGTGTTTACTTAAAAAAAAGGATCTTTCTAGATAATGAGTAATGAAGTGTAAAATTCAGCAAAGTAGACAAAACTAAAAAAAAAAAAAAAAGCTACATCAAAATCTAAATGGGACCCCATTCAAGGAACCCAAATGAATTTAAAAGAAACCCCAACTCTAGAGGGGGCACGACTCTAGCCTAAATTGTTTCAAATTAGTTCAAAGGAGCCCCATTATTTGAAAATAAACAAATCTCCTCTGTTCTTATATCATTTTTTTAATTTTTTTTTTTGATGAAGGGCTCAAAACTAGAAGCCCCCCCACTCCCCCTAGTCTTAGTTTTCCCTGGGCTACAGCGGATAATAGGCCATAAATCTGGTAATGTGTGGGGCCAAAAATGTCTGTTTTTTGTTTCTTAACTGTGGGAAGAAACTTTCACAGGTTATCGATCAATAGCGAAGAAAATCAATCCCCTCTTCTAGGAATCAATAATTTTAAATTGTTCTCATGCCTTCTGCGTTCAGATGAACTTTTAACAATAACATTTTCAAAAAGAACACAAAAAATGCCAACTATTGGCAAACATTTTTTTTTTTTTTTTTTTTTACAATCGTTCGGGATTACAAGTTGTTTTCAAAACAATGTTACCAGCGGAATAACTTCTATTTTTTTTTTTTAATAGTCTGCTTCCCGTTAATTTTTTTTTTCTGTCTTCCAAACTTAGTTAAAAACCAAATGATGGGGGAAAACTTATTCACCAGTTTCAACGAAGTCAAGTTTCGCTTAAAAAGTTAAAAAAAAAAAAAAAACCGTTCTCCGTGGAAATGTAAAACTTTAAAATAAAATTAACTTTATTTAATAAAGAAATGCTCACGTTTGGACTACGGTAAAAAAAAAAAAAAAAAAAAAAAAGAAATTGCACTTGTACGCTAGACTTACCCCACAAATCTTAATTACCACAAAATATCCTTTATAAAGAGAATCTTTTTCTTTTTCAAACAACTTCATTTTCCAAAGGAGCGAAAATTAAGAAAGAATCAAGTTTTACGCCAATGTTTCCTACTCGAGTTAAAAGATGGACTACTTCTTCTCACGGGTAACATTTTTATTAACAATGATTAAATCAAAATTAGGAAGCCTAAGTCATAAAAGGAGTAAAAGAAAAATCAGAACTTATCTTTTTAAATATTTTTAAAAAGAGGGATGGTCACGTGACTATTTAAAATTTAATTTTGTTCAAGTTTTGGGATTTTGCTACTGAAAAGGCTTAAATTTGGAACTTTGGTATAACATTTTTCAAACTTATTCGCGTCAATCTTACACTTTTTTTTTTTTTTTTTTTTTAATTATTTAGTTTTATAATGTGTACACACACAAAAAAGAAGTGAAACTATTTTTTTTTTTTTTTGCCTAAAGCGAGAAAAGTTTATTTCCCTCGCACCATGCAAAAAATTTCTTCTTTTAAATAAAAAGACACGTTACACAGGAGAAAAAAAAGTTTTAAAATCGAACAGTTTCTAAAAAAAGTCAATCATTGCTTCTTTGTTCCTAAAGTTTGGAGATTTTAAAATAGCAAGCGAGATAATCAGAAATATTTTTATCAGTTTTACTTTTATTGAGCGAAGAAACAAAAAGAACTTAAAAACGAAAAGTAAAATGTTCATTCATAGAAAAAAATATGTGAAAAGCCTTTAAGTTTTAACTTAAAACTTTTTAGGGCTTACATAATTTTTCCTTTCTTTAAGTTAAACATCTCTACCAAGTTTAAAAAAAAAAAAAAGTATATTAGTTGTTTGCGCCTCAATGGTCAGTTAAAAAGTTAACTATTGGCAACAATGAAACTGGGATTTTCATCGAAATTACCAATAAATGTCAATATGTCATCTTTGTAGAGAGAAGTTACTTTTCTCGACTTCACTTCTGTTGTTTTTTTGTTTTTAGTCACTGTCAAAACACGATTTATTAACTTCAAAAATCACTGATGCAAAAAAAAAAAATGAAGTTGATTATTACGAGGTCAGATATTTTTGTATCTTGTATCAGATGTTTTTTGGAAAAAATAGGATTAGTAGAAATTTGGTTACTTGAAAGGGAATTACTTTCTTTTTTTTCCAGTGTTACAATTGTGATGTAATTACTTCAGCCTTATAATAAAAAATAAAATAAAAAAGTATTGCTTTTTTTAAGTTTTAACAAAGTTTACTTTATTGCAATTTTTCTTTTTTACTTTTTGCAATCTTTGAGTTTATTAGGACAATTTAGTAAAATTTTACTTTTAAATGATAAATTTAGTCATATTCTCTTTATATAGCAATATTTCGATTTTTTTTTATAAAAAAAAAAAGGTCAAATTTTCGTTAGTAGAAGTTGAAAAGTTATAAATCACAAGACTTTCAAGTTTTTGTTTTTGTCATTTTTATATTATTTTATGTCATTTTATTTCTTATAAAAATAAAAAAGGTTAAATTTTCGATAATAGGTGACGTGAAAAAAGTAGAGAAAAATTAGTAGACACAATCAAAGTAAGACTTTTTCAAGTTTGTTTACTTTACAATGTACTGTGCACATTTAAAAATTCGGACATGAATTAATAAACGACACTTAACATTATGACTATGAGTAATTAATAAAACTCTTTTATTATTATAAACGAAACTTAGTACTTTTAGAAATTTAGACATAACGATAAATTCTGTTCGTGTGCACAAGTTTTGGGGGTTTGTTTGTTTTTTTGGGGTTTTTTTTTTTCAAGGTAATTGCAATAATAAAAGAAATATTGTCGCTTTATTGTCTCACCTGACGTTTTGCATCTGGACTGTAATAAACCATGATCAAAGTGGTGAAAATGTTGAGGGCCAAACCGGTGGCTGTAATGGCATTAGGGGCCCACCATCGAGGAACTTGTTCAACTAACCATCGCCAGAATTTCTGCATCAAAGGTTCCAGAAGGGAGCAACCCTCGGCTTTGTATTGATGCTCCAACAAACGACGTAACTGACCGGTGGTCAAAACATCTTTATTCTTGTTCACCATGGCTAAACTGGACACGTAATTTCTCTTTTAAAAGAAAAAAAAATTAAAACTTTTTTTCTTCTTCCGGTGTATGCCAGCTGGATATATATATTGGATTAAAGTCCTGCCCTTTTTATTTTCCCCAAAGAGGATTGATGTCGTCCTGTAGTGATGTGTGTATAATATAAATACTTGTATGTTTTATATGGGAGGATTATAGTCTCAAGCTAAACCTGTTTGAAGTTTAAGGTATTTTCATTTACATCTCTAGGAAGATCTTTTTTAGGGTAAAATAAACAGTTTTTCTTCCTTTCTTTCTCAAGAGGCTTAAAACTAAAAGTACAAATTTCTATTTGTCAGTATTATAAACTTATTTCCTGAGGGAGAACTTAAAAAAAAAAGGTCACAATTTTCTTTCTGGACTAAAGTCACAGAAAAAAAATAAATTGCTGGGACATGTTTTTGTTTGACTCCTTTTTTCAGGCAAAGTTCAGAACATGTAAATTTGTTTGATTTTATTTATTCTTTATGTCATGGAGTATCAAGTCGTTCTTTTTAATCGGTGTAAGAACCGTCAAAAAGATTTTGTTTTCAAATAACTTATGCCAGTTCTCTTCCATATCTCCAACTTTTCACCTTGTTCCAACCTCAGGACTTTTGTTAGACTGTCTTCTTAGCTCTATGGCACCGGTCATCTCTCCATACATACACATATATACATATATATAAGCACACAAAAGTGTGGAAGAAAAAAAAAACAAAAAAAAAAAAAAAAGGTGGTTGAGGTTTTCTTTTTTTCGCCCCTCTCTACTCTAGGTTATTATTATTAAATAAAAACAAATTGATGACCATCTCTCCCTCCCGCTGGAGCCTTCTGTTCGTCTCAATCACTATATACACACACCATCTGTGTGTTTTATTGCAGTTTTATCCTCTGGATACGCGTATGTGCCTTTTGTCTTTCAATAAAGACTAATGAAGAAGGTAAAAAGAGGAAAGACCTTCCTCCCAACATCCGTCAGCGTGTAATGTTTTCCGCCTGCCTGTATTATGTCGTTGAGTTCTCTTTTCTTGACTGAAGCCGAAAAAGCAAATCGTGGAAATGAATTACCTCCCTTTAGCACTCTCCAATCAATGGTGACCAAGGGAAATAACCCTTAAATACTGCATTAAAAAATACAAAGTTGCTGTTTATTTTCACAGACCAAACATAATTTTATTTATTTTTAATTTCCTAGTGAATTACTGATCTACATTTAATAAACGAAATTCTCTTATTCAACTTTCCTTACATTGCATTATAAGTTTAATTTATATTATATATTTAACTCATGTACTGGGAATTGAGCTTGTTACCTATTTCAGTCACTTTATGTGCCATGCGTGATACACGCTTAGACGATTATGTATCTTTCGATACATGACTGACGAGGCAGATTTTTTTCCCGCTATTGGTTGCCATTTCTTTCTGCAGTAGACCAGTTGCCATCGAAAGCTATAGAACCTGGTCTGTCCTGCTATTTACCTACTCATAGCTGGGGGGGGGGGAGAAGAAGAGGATTCATACCTTTCCCAAGGATATTAGCACATAAGTGAATGTAATGGATATGATTGGAATTTGAACTCAGTTCTCCGATTTCCTCTTGTGGAGGCATGGTGGCTCGGATTGAGGAATCAGAAAGCTGAGTTGAATCTATTACATTCAATTATATGCTAATACCCTTGGGAAAGGTATTAATCCTCCAAATGATGCATTGTGAGATCTGTTGCCTCCATGTTTTCAAGCCCAACCTAGGAAAGCTGGATATCAAGTTTCATTAACATATTTTACATTATTCAGACTATTCTCCTCATCTTTGTCGCTATATTTATTACAATGTTTGACCCGTTGTATGCTCCGGGTTGGAATGTCGAATTGAACCCTTCATTCGACATTCCAACCACCTGAAGAAGGCCGGAGCGCAACGGCCGAAACATTGTAATAAATATGGCGACAAAGATGAGGACAATAGTCTGAATAATGTAAATAATGTACATAATACCTCATCTCAGAAATATAGACAGCATGTTTTATGTTTACATTTCCTAAGCTGAATGTGTGCACAAGATAATGATTATGGTAGATTCCAAAAAGGAGGCATCTGGCTTTGAGATATATGCTCTAGAATGAAGCTGACACTCTTTTGATTCAAAACAAGTGGTCCTATTATAAATGCCAACACATTCTGAGAGTTGTCATGGCCTATCAGAATTTACACTCTTCAACAGAAGAGCTTACCTCAACATCAACCATGGAAATAACACAAACTGGCTTAATGCCCTAGATGACACACTTGGATCACAGTCTTTTCATGCAGTTAGTACAGTAGCTGCTGCAGCAAATAATGACACCGATGTGATGAACCCAATGACACCATCAATGCTCAAATAGACCCACTATTTTATATCACCAAATATACAATAAAGTTGTGTTTCACCACTGCCAACTCAAACACATTATGGCTTTGAATGAGGATCCCACCAAAACAACCATCAACATATTATTGCCACAGCTTCAATTACCCCTATGTAAATAATCACACACAAAGAACTAGTTCCCACACCTTTTCACTTTAACAACATCTTATCTCTATTATCATGTGTTACCTTTCATTCCTTTTCTGTTGGAATAAGTAGTAAGTTATGGTACTCAACATTTGAACAAGCACGAGATGTGGGGGTAGAGGTCTGCCATGGGCAGCACTTTTATGGGGGTGGCACTTTTGTGTCTGCTGTAGGCTATAAGCTTGTATAGGCTGTATTGAAATAAAAGTGGTTTTAATGTTGGGATGGTACTCACAGTTGAGGGATTTTTTCGATTTTGAGTAACTTAAACTATGGCATATATATTGGCCTATTTACTGCCTATAGAGTGACAATTGATAAATGAAATAGTTTTTGATGATGTCATTGAAGAATTTGCCAACAAAAAAGCAAGAAAGGTTACTTTGTTGAAAGTTATGATTTTCATTTCAAAAATAAAGACAGGCCTAATTTTTTTTCCCTATATGCCGTTTTTGCTTTTTAACTGTTACTGATAAAGTTTAAGTATGTTTGGTGTATATTTAAACCACAATATATTTGAATAAGTGAAAGTAATATTATAATGGTACACAAACTAGTTTTATAACTTTAGGAGTGAATCACTGTGCAATATGTATTTTTTGTAGGGGGCCTGGTGGGTAGTAAATTCAAGGGCTGCCCTGGGCAGTACACACTCTAGTTATGCCACTGCAAAAAAAAATTTCAAACATGTCGGTATTGCCACACCCACAACAGAGATGAATGGTGACCTCTCAGGAATCCAGTAATTATATATTACTCAGTGTACCCCAAATAATAATATGGACAGCACAACAGAAGAAAATCTATAGCAATTTGTCTCTTGCCCTCCGCTATGTGACCGCCTTCTTTAAGCATCAACTTCAGGATCAGATCAAGGTGGGAAGAGAGACTGTCCTCAGCATACTGTAATGAAAGGTGAGTGAATGTTGTGCAACAGTGCTTTGTGAGAGGGGCTAACTTGAAATAGAATCTTATGGTTACTGGCACTACAATTAACAAGAAAGGAGTAGAGTTCTGTTAGAGTATTAACCAATAGGGTAAGTAAAATCAAATTCGTGTGCCAAGAATAAGTTCAATCACAAATCCATGTCCAAAAAATCCAAAAGTCAAAGCAGTTGTAAACAGTCCAGCAGGCAAGTTAATAATGAGAATGGGGTCAAAAATCTAACCTTCCACTTGCAAAAGAGTAAACACACTTTCACTCAAAAAAATCATTTTCCCCTTGTTAATCAAAGCAACGGCTTTTATTCACAGAAGAGTTTTTTTCCTGATTGGCCCTACCAGTCAGGGAGGAAAGAACATTAGCATAGTTTTTCTGATACTTAAAGTGGCAGCATTTTACTATCAATTTCTTTAAATATATTTTGGCAGACTACATACAAAACATATACTCTGTTTCAAGGTAAGTAATTTTCTCTTTTGTTACAAGTTCACAAGAGAGCAATGAGTGGGAATCAAGAAATTTTGGGTATGAACTCTAGAGAGGAACACAATGGATCATCAGATGGCAGTGTTGGTAATTAGAGTCCCAATATACAGGGTTCTCCAAAAGTTTTGTCACCCCCACATAATATAATTTTCTATTTCAGATCACTGCCATGAAAATGATGGTGTTCATATAGACCTTCTTGATGTGTGACAGCATCAATGAAAGTGAATAAACTGAATCCAGTACATATGCTTTGTATTGATTGTTGTTCTATTGTTCGCATTACTTTTTAGTATGGGGTGACAAGACTTTCGGACCACCTTGTAGTATATAAATTTCCAAAATTGTGAACAAAATTTAAACTGTAATTCACAGGAGAAATTTCTATGTGAAGGTATGTGCAAGTTGATTAGTTGTGGCTATACCATTCTATAGTAAACAACCCTATTATTTGAAACATTCATAACAATGGACATGTGCTTGATATGAAAAAGTTAATATATTCAGTCATCTATCAAAAGATACATGATCGCCTCTCAGGTATGGCACATAACTATTATTCACAGTTTGCAGGAGAAAAGATATACTGCTATTAGTTTCAGTTGTTGGTAAATCTTTTGACCTCTAGTTGCCCCTTCTATTTATTTTGAGTAAAGGGGGGGTTCATCTTGCGTTGATTTATATGTAGACAAGCTGGTATTTTTAAGTTGATTGATTGTGTATTTATGTTTTTAGGCTGATATTTATCTTGTTGCAGACAGGTGTTTCAAAAGAAATTAATTCAACACATTGTTGGATTATTTAAGAACAACATAAGAAAAGAGAAAAATTTATACACAGGGGTTGGATAAAATAATTGGAACACTTGTTAAATTCAAAGAAAATTTATTTAATATGGAGTTGGTCCTCCTTTAGCCTTACAGACAGCTTTAATACGTCTAGGAATGGAATCATACAGCTTCCTGACTTCATCCAGAGGAATTTTCAC